ACTACAATTCCTTTTCAGGTCTATGAACCATAAACCCTGCTAGGGTTCATCTAGTCCCCAAGGATAGTCCCCCTTTTCGAGACTGTGAGTCACCGTCACCTACTTCTCGAGGCGGGCACTGGGCGTATACAGAGTTATGAGTATAGGGAAACGATAGTTACAACTGGACCCTCAGCCCTACAGGCCCTACATGTCTTGGGCACTTCCCGGTCTCGTCGCCTAAGATTGTCACGGTGGTGTGGGGGGGGGGGTCTAAATCTCGCGTTGTGGGAAGGCTCGCTGCGATTTCTGCAAAAACATTTTTCAGAACCCCCGAGAACTACTTTGTTTTCAGAAAGGAAAGCCTGAGCCCTTTCAGCTCAGCAGCATTCAGCAGCCCAGCCGTGCTCAAGACAAAAGCTGAACTCTCGAAGCTCAGCCCAAACAGCGCCGAACTGCTTGAGCAAAGAAACCGAACCCTCGAAGCGACGGAAGCGCACCAAAACACCCCCAAACCCTGCAAGAAAGGGGCCTTAATAGCGGGTTTGGAGGGGTTATTCGTCTAGCATACTTGTATAGGGACCAGAAGGGAATACTAGTAAACCCTAAACCCTAAACCCTAAACCCCAAACCCTAAACCCTAAACCCCAAACCCTAAACCCTAGACCAGGTCCTGGGTTGAGAATCCAGGGTTTCGGACCGGCACCCCGGGGGCTCACATGGCTTAGGGTTTAGGGTTTAGGGTTTAGGGTTTAGGGTTTAGGGTTTAGGGTTTAGGGTTTAGGGTTTCGGGCATTGAAACATGCAGAAAAGCAAGCGGTGAGGCCAGGGCAAGTCTCGGGAACAGCGAAGCGACAGCAGCAACTACTCTAGGGGTTCGGAAAAATCACAAACAGTACTCCCTTATGGCCCCCTTCATCGTTATACTATTAAACACGCCCTAGCACCCTATTCTAATCGTTAAGTATTCCCTTCTGGTTCCTTTTTTTGTTATACTATTGAAAACCCCCTCAACGCCCTATTCTAATCCTTAAGGCCACCGCACGTTGCTTTCTCCCCCTGGTTCTTAGCAGGGAACGGGGGAATTAGGGCCCTATATATACCCTTTAAGGGATTATATAGGGTACCCTAAATGTACCCCTCAATGTACCCTGTAAGGGATTATAGATCCCCCCTATATATACCCTTTAAGGGGTTATATAGGGTACCTCATTCCCTCATTCCCCCTTCCAGTTCTGGGGATCTGGAGGTCTGGAGGACCCCGCCTCTTCCAGGACATTCTCGCGGAACGGCATCGTGGCCTCCAGGGTGATTTTAGAATTCAGGTTTTAGGGTTCAGGGTTCAGGGTTCAAGGTTCAGGGTTTAGGGTTTAGGGTTGAGGGTTTAGGGTTTAGGGTTTGGACCCTACGAACCCTCAACTCGCTAAACCCTCACGCGCCTGCCTCCGCCTGGTCTGCCTGCAGGTCTCTTGCCATGGACGGCCGATTTGCAAAGCTGTCGACGACCCTTGGTTTAGGGTTTCTTGGGGTTTGGTGTTTGTTTGGGGTTTAGGGTTTGGGGTTTGGGGTTTGTTTGGGCAGTTGCGGCAGGCTTAGGGCTTAGGCTTAGGACTTAGGGCTTAGGGTTTGGGGTTTGAGCTGAGGACACAAGTACGAATGGACTCCTGCTGCAGCCAAGTCTGTGGCTTAAACTACTTGACGGGGGTGCCTACGCCAACACTCCTGCCATAAAGCCTGCAGCTAATTACAGAACCTACCCTGCGAGCAAGAACCCTGAACCAAGGGTTTCTGGGGTTTACGTACGAAACGCAAGCTGTGAAGCGTTCACGGAAAGGCCTGGGCAAATCGATCGAAGACTAGCCTTCTCAGTTCGCTCTTCCTCGCTCTCTCTCTCTCTCTCTCTCCCTCCCTCTCTCGCTCTCTTTCTCTCTCTCTCTCTCTCTCTCTCTGTCTCTGTCTCTGTCTCTGTCTCTGTCTGTGCAACAGCTCCAGGAGAAGCCCAGAAACATGGCGGTAAGCTCCACGGAACGGGCGTCCTGGCCGCGTCCAGAGTCTTGAGGAAAGCAGTTAAGCATGGCGCGTGTCAAAGTCAAAAGGACTCAAGGCCTGCAGGGTACTCATTATATATGAATATGAATATTACGACTGTTACTGCTACCAAGATTGTTGCGACTAAGAATATGTTTATTTGCTATATAACCCCATTGTGGTAAGTTCACTTAGGAACACACAATGAACACTTGTAAGCGTCGAAGAAGAAAGTCTCGGCACGTCATGCCTGAAGCTATACCTTGCGATTGGCACATACATGCATGTTCTCTCGCATTGCTTTTGAAAGCTGCAGGCCCTAGACCCGAAAACCCACCCCTAAAACCCTAACCCTAAACCCCAAGCCCGAAGCCCTAAACCCTAAACCCCAAGCCCTAAACCCTAAACTCTAAATCCTAAACCCTAAACCCTCAACCCTAAACCCTCAACCCTCAACCCTACACCTTCAACCCTTCCTCCCTGAGCTCCTCGGAGCGCCTGGCCGCGAAGGCGTTGGAGATCACCACGCGTCGGCACAGGTTCTCGGCCGAGCGCCCTCCGGGCTGGACCCTACATCCTACATCGGGGTTTAGGGTTTGGGGTTTAGGGTTTGGGGTTTAGTGTTTAGGGTTTAGGGTTTAGGGTTTCGGGTTTCGGGTTTAGGGTTTAGGGTTTAGGGTTTAGGGTGTTGGGGATAGGGTTTAGGCAAAACCGACATCATGCTAGATTTGCTGTGGAAGGGGTTGGGTTTGAAGGGGCTTCCGAGATTTTGAGGCCTTGCTTCCCCCGAGCAGCATGCTTTGGATGGTGATACAGAACAAAAATCCCGACTCGAAAGTTCATTAGACTTCCTGACCGGCTTGCAAAGAGGTCATGGTCCTACTTAAAGCCCTATACATCATGTTTCCCCTACCCTGCCTTTGCATAAGTCGCCCCAAATTTACAAACTGGTGGCTGCTAAGTCCCATGAACCTTCAGGGGTCAAGGAAATGTCCTTAAACCACTTGCGGGTTTAGGGTTTAGGGTTTAGGGTTTAGGGTTTAGGGTTCAGGGTTCAGGGTTCAGGGTTCAGGGTTTAGGGTCTAGGCGGTCTAGGGTTTAGGGTTTACCAAGCGAGCCAAGTGACACAAGTGTCCCAAGTGTGTTAAGTTGAGGGCGTTTAAGGCTCTAGGGTTTTTAGGGTGTGTAGGGCTAGCAGGGTGTAGGGTTTTTCGGGATTGTAAGTTTTAGGGCTGTTAGGAAGTGTGTCCCAAATGCCCTTCGTGCCCCAAGTGTCCCACGCCGCAAGCGTCTTCAGCTAGCAGCACTTGAGTCTTCAACAAGCTGCACAAACAGAAACTGATCGACTGCAGGGGGCCAACATCACTGCAACCAGCATACGCAGCTCCGAAAAAACAAACACCATCATCAGGCTTTGCCAAAAACACCTTGTAGCAAGACATGCGTGTTTCTTTCTAGCAACATGGAGAAGACGCCTTAGCGGTCTTCGGGTGGGTAGGTCTGCAGACAAATGCGCGCGGACAAAGTGCGCTTCCGTTTGGCGCGCCCTACATCCTACACCCCAGACCCTACCTAAACCCTAAACCCTAACATCCCAACCCCAGACCCGAAACCCCAAACCCTAAACCCTAAACCCTGAACCCTAAACCCTAAACCCTAAACCCTAAACCCTGAACTCTAGGGGTGGCCCCCCAGCCTGCCAGGCGGAAGAGGGTGCACAGCACCAGGAGGCCAACGGCAAAAGGCAGAATTGCCAAGGCGGTCCGGCTCTTCCTCGGACGGTTTTTTTTTTTTTTTTGGGGGGGGGGGGGGTTGGGGGTTTGGGGTTGAGGTTTTAGGGGTTTAGGGTTTAGGGTTTGGGGTTTAGGGTTTAGGGTTTAGGGTTTAGGGTTTAGGGTTTAGGGTTTGGGGTTTGGGGTTCGGGGTTTGGTGCTTGGGGTCTGGGGTTTTGGGGCTTGGCGCGGCGCTTGAGGGCTTAGGGATTTAGGGTTTGGGGTATATTTTTAGGGGGGGGGGTGTGTCTACCCGATACCCTGGGGTCGGGGGCGAGACCCTGCGTTTTGTTTTCTTTTTTTCCGGCGGGAGGGGGGGGGGGAAGGTACTCATGTCAGAGAGAAGCCAAGTATCACATCTTCATAATACCGGGACTGCAGTAGCTGATCCGGATGCTCGCAAGTGGCATAGTTCGGCGTGGGATAGTCCAGCTCTGGGCAAGACAGGAGACTGCCTCAACAAGCCAACGAGAAGCACTCTAAACCTCAAAATCTCAGACCGCCCTCAAGCCTAAGCCCTAAGCCACAAAACCACCCTGAATCCTACACCCTAAACCACCCTCAACCCTGAATCAAACCTAGACCCTAACTAAACCCTAAACCCTATGCCCAACCTCCGCATTGATAGTACTTCTTCCGGTCAGCCCGGGCCCAGCGCTCTGCATTGTCGTTGACGTGCGAAGGGCCTAGAGAACCTGGGTCCGGAAAAACCGAAGTCTCCTCAACCCGCCGGCCCTTTTTGGGTGCACAAGAGGGTTTAGGGCTTAGGGTTTAGGGTTTAGGTGGATCCTCACCCTGAAAGGACAAGGCATTCGGGGTTCTATAGGCCCGGCCCTTTATGCTACTACTGGGCCTGGGAACAAATCCGATCCGTGCCGTCTTTGACATATTGCCCATAGTACATCGGCATGTACCAGCCCATGGTGTAGAGGCAGTTCCTGAGGAAACCCAGCCATGTGATGGCGGTAAAGGATTTGGGGTTTCGGGTTTAGGGTTTTAGGGTTTGGGGTTTAGGGTTTCGGGTTTAGGGTTTCCAGTTCTTTTTTTGCTAGCTCGGTGTACAGGCGCAGGAGCCCAAAACCCAAACAAAGGATTTCAGAAGGTACCAATGGGCGCCCCAAGGTGCAGATCCAAGAGCATGGAGACGAAGACTTGGATGTAGTTGATGAAGCAGCCTTCAAAGGCGACGTTCGTGCCGAACATCTTCAGCTCCACCTAGGCCCAGGAGTAACCCAGGAATTCAAAGAGGGCACCGGGCACCCCTTTTTTGGTTTTAAGGGGAGTAGAAGGGAACCCCCCAACCCTAAAGACAAGGAAAGAAAGGCCTACTCCGGGTCCAAGCCGCCGAGTTCTCGAAGTGCGGGAAATCCAGGTCCTGCGTGACGATGCAGATGTCCATGATGAGCAGCAGCCCGGCCACGGCCATGCGCCCGATGTTGGACCGGTGCGCGCTGGTGATCGCGGTCTTGGCCTGAGCTTCTCTTCTCAAAAAGCAAGCAAAGAGAAACCCTGGATCTTGCTGGCCCGAAACTCTAAAAACCCAAACCTGAAACTCAGGGGCCCAAAAAACCCCAAAACCCTAAAACCCAAAAACCCTAAAACCCAAAACCCAAAAACCCTAAAACCTAAAACCCTAAACCCTAAAACCTAAAACCCTAAAACCCTAAAACCTAAAAAACCCAAAACCTCACCCAGGAGTGCGCGTCAAGGCCCATATGCCCATCAGACCCAAGTCTCCGTCTGGTACCGCAGCAGCGTCTCGTTGCTCGTCAGCAGCGAGCGAACCTCAGTTGTCCAGTAACCTGGGGGAATTAAAGGTTAACCTTTGGGATTATCAGGGGATTATACTACCCCAAAAAGGTTAAAGGTTACCTACTCTACTACTAGGGAACCTCGTCTGCCCCTTCTTCTTTTTCTCTGACCGCACTCGAGTTCAGGGTGTGAGGGTTTTTTGGGGTTCAGGGTGTAGGGCTTGGGGTTTAAGATCACCCTAAACCCTAAACCCTAAACCCTAAACCCTAAGCCCTCGAAAAAATCCCAAAGGCCTGCCTAGCAGCGCCCCACACCGCCACCACGCCGAAGCTTCCCCAAAGGATGCGGCCGCGGTTCTTCAGCCAGAAGCCTTCCAGACATTGGGCTTTGGGGCTCTCTGTTTAGGGGTGTAGGGTGTAGGGTTTAGGGTTTAGGGTTTAGGGTTTAGGGTTTGGGGTTTAGGGTTTAGGGTTACTCGGATCATCACGGTAAGCTCACGCATTTCGACCTGAAGCCTCCGGGCACAATCCTCCTGCACCCTGAACCCCCCTAAAACCCTGAATTCCAATACCCAGAAACCCCTACCTAAATTTAGGATTTAGGGTTTAGGCTGTAGGATTCAGGGTTTAGGATTTAGGTTTATGGTTTAGGGACCCACAAAGCCCCGGGTGACCAGCCACTAAGGACCTAAGTCTAACCCCAAAATGGGCCCTCTGGGCGGTTCGCTATCTGTTTCTTGCGGTCAATGCTGTTGTTCAGGGTTCCCAAAACCCGAAATCTTAAAACTCTAAACACTAAATCCAAAACCCTAAACCCTGAAAGGGTTCAGGGTTTAGGGTTTAGGGTTTAGAGTTCAGGGTTCAGGGTTTAGGGTTTTGGGTTTAGGGCTTAGGGTTTTGACTTTAGGGTTCAGGGTTCAGGGCTTCAGCGTTGGGATAGCCTAGCCTGTCCCAGAACTTACTTGCAGTCTCGCCTATGAGGTCGTAGTTGCTGAAGACCCGAAGCCCGCTGTTGATGTAGGTCCTCTCATCCTGCGTGAACAAAGGTTTAGGGCTTAGGGCTTAGGGCATAGGGCTTAGGGTTTAGGGTTTAGGGTTTTGGGTTTAGGGCTTAGGGTTTAGGACCTTTGCAACGTTCAAGGCTTAGGTTTCGGAGGACCAAGGCAAAACCCTGAACCCACAGCAACTCCCAACATAAAGGCGCTGAGCGCACCCCACCTCCGCAAAGGAACAACAGAAACTTTCCATTTCTCGTCGTCGTCGTCGTCGTAGTAGTAGTAGTAGTATCAGTAGTATCAGTAGTATCAGTAGTAGTAGTAGTAGTAGTAGTAGTAGTAGTAGCAGCAGCAGCAGCAGTAGTAGCACCAGAAGAAGACTTGCAACCACACTTGTACAGTCGTAAACAAAGATTTAGAATTCAGAATCGAAAATGAAAAGAAGAGGACGAAGAAGAACCCAGCAACTTGTCCTGGAGGATCAGGTCCAGTACCTGAAGAAACAGCGTGCTTGCGAAGGAGGGCAAGGGATTAGGCACACGAAAGAACTCCTACGAAGGGCTAGCTAGGGAGCATCAGGATGCGAATTCCTCATCATGAGGCAGTACTATACTCCCCTTAGAACCCTAATAAAAATGACATGTTTTATATTTAAGGCTTAGAACTTCAGAGAAAGGAGGCCTCAATCAGGGTATTTGGGGTTTGGGGTTTCGGGTTCGGTGTGGAATTTAGGTTTGGGGTGAATCACAATCACGGCCTTATTCGTAGGGTTTAGGGTCTACAGGAACCAGGGGAAATTACATCGAGTCCTCGGCGGGGCGCCATGAACACGGCGAGGCTGTCGGCCAGAAAGGCCCCGCACTGCGTCAGCCGCGCGAAGAGGCTGTTGCTAATGTGGAGGTCGTTGCTCCTGGGCTCAACTGGGCCCTTGGGGCCCTTGGGGCCTTAGGGTTTAGGGTTTAGGGTTGAGGGTTTAGGGTTTAGGGTTTAGGGTTTAGGGTCGTTGCTCCTGGGCTTAACTGGGCCCTTAGGGTCTTAGGGGGTGTAGTAACCTTCTTTGCACGGCTGAAAGATGCAGAGCTGCAGGGCTTAGGGATTGAGAAGTCCATGATGGGGGGATCCTTAGAACAATGGCAGCAAGAGGACTTGACTTCTTGCCTTTGACAAACAAACAAAGGCGCCGGAGGGCTTAGTGCCCCGGGGTTGAAGGTCCAGACATCCATGGAAGCAGGCTGCGTTCTGGGTTGGGAAAGAGGCCCCAAAGCTCTAAACCCCCAGTCGCAGCCAGGGGTGGCAGGGCTTTCGGGTGAATCTGAACTTTGAACCCTAAACCCTAAACCCTAAACCCTAAACTTAGCAAAGGCTCAGCCACTCCCGGTCACAGACCGGCTGCTTGCATTCCGCGTTCCTCGGCGCCCCAGCACTGCTCTCCTAAACCCCCAAATTCCTGTGTCTATGTCGAGCCTGGGCCCTGAACCCTGTAAACCTTGAAGCCGAAACCGTCAGCATTTCAGGGTTCAAGGTGGGGCTGAGGGTTTGGGTTTAGGGATTCGGGTTTAGGGCTTGGGGCTTAGGGTTTAGGGCTTAGGGCTTAGGGCTTAGGGCTCAGGGCTTAGGGCTAGGACCTCCCGGACTTAGATCTTGGAAAAGCAGCCACCAGGACCAGGATACCCCCAAAATCCCTGGCAACTGCAGCCACGGGTGCCGGGTGACCGTGGCCCACCGAATGAAGTTGTACACCTGGACAATTCGGGTTGAGGGTTTAGGGTTTAGGGTTTAGAGTTTAGGGTTTGGGGTTTAGTGCATTTAGGGTTTAGGGTTTAGGGTTTAGGGTTTAGGGTTCAGAACAAGTTTCCTACCTCTGGACGAGGAACTCATAAGGAAGGTACCTGACAGCTCCCTGCATGACCTGTTTAGACCCGCAAGTGACCCCAAGTCCTTAGTTCCTTAATCAGAACTCCGATGTTTCGTGTTTAGGCTTTGGGGTTTAGGGTCTAGGGGTAATGGCCAGAAGAAATCAAAAGGCCTGTGCAGTAAGGCGGGCGATCGGTCTTGCGCTGTTCGACCGCTTGCGGCAACACCAAAATGAACCGTGCAGCCCTAAACCCTAAACCCTAAACCCTAAACCCTAAACTCTAAAACCCAAACCGCAACTCTCAACAGCGGTTTACCCTGTTACTCCAGGCATTGCAGATTCATGTGGGCTTGGCTTCGGAAGGAGTGGTCGCTGTGGCTCGGATTTGGCTTCCTGGTTCTTGGCAGGGAATGAAGGAACGAGGTACCCTACATGATCTCTTAAAGGATTTTTTTTGAGAGAGATACAAGCTAAGGCACCTACTCCCTGATTCCCTGCTAAGAACCAGCGGGTTGGGGAGTGAGGGAGGTGAGGCTCATTCTTTCTTTGGGGCTTAGAGTTTCGGATGTAGGGATACAGGTTTAGGGTGGCAAGTCTGCCTGGCCCTGAATGGCTTTGTTTCACCTCTCTGGCTTCACTTCTGTGTGTTCAGTTGCCCTCTGGCAAAAAAAAGTCAAGAAACAAGCATTCTACCCTGAACCCCAAAAACCCAAATACACCCTAAAAACCCTAAACCCGAAAACCCGACCACCCGACAACCCTAAACCCTTACACCCTAAACCCTAAACCCTCAACCCTACCCCTAAACCCTGAACCCTGGCCCACCTGCGCACTGAGGATGAGGCTGACCGCCACCCCAACAGCTCCGATGACCAAGGTACTGCCCCTGTATGTGAACCTGTGCTGGGGGTTTAGGGATTTAGGGTTTAGGGTTTAGGGTTTAGGGTTTAGGGTTTAGGGTTTAGGGTTTAGGGTTTAGGGTTTAGGGTGAACCTGTGTTGGGTTCCTTCTTCTCAGGAACTCACATTTTTTTGGGATTTAGGGAGTTATGGTTTAGGGTTTAGGGTTCAGGGTTTAGGGTTGTATGTGAACCTGTGCTGGGTGCTTTTGTCAAGGACATACATTATTTTGGATTCTCCGTTAGCTGCCTTAAAGATTTCTGAAGTATGGGCACTTGGGGTTTATAGGGTATATCGGGGTATGTATGGTTTCCCCAGGACCATGTAGCTACCCTAAGATTTGTGAACCGCGAGGAACCGCTTCTGCAGACGCGGTGAACCCGGCAAAAAGTTCTTCAAGCCCTCGTCTGCTGCGCAGCTCCGGGTTCAGGGTTCAGGGTTCAGGGTTCAGGGTTTAGGGTTTAGGGTTTAGGGTTTAGGGTTTAGGGTTTAGGGTTTAGGGTTTAGCGTTTAGGGTTTAGGGTTTAGGGTTTAGGGTTTAGGGTTAGGGGTTTAGGGTTTAGGGTTTAGGGTTTCGGGTTTAGGGTTTAGGGTTTAGGGTTTAGGGTTTAGGGTTAGGGGTTTAGGGAAACTGTCGTAGGATCCGGCGAAGCTCGGGGGGAGATAGCTAGATCGACCCCGAGCGGTGGCGGGAACTTATGACCAAATCTAGAAAACCAAATAACGAAACTTCAAAATTCAAAAAAAAACAAAGCCTTTTAACAACAACAATAGGAAAAAACTTAAACTCTATTTGATATGAAATAAAGCCTTTCCACAATAGAAGTAAAACTTAAACTCTTGAGATGCCCCCCAAGGATCATCTCGAAGCGCAGCGCCAGCCGACGCTTGAGCGCTCGGGTGAGCAGGATGCCTGCCTCGCTTTGTAGGGTTTGGGGGTTTAGGGTTTAGGGTTTGGGGTTTAGGGTTTAGGGTTTGGGGTTTAGGGTTTATTTGGGGTTTAGGGTGTAGGGTGCAGGGTTTAGGGTTTGGGGTTTAATAATCACGTGAAGGCCTTTTGGTTTTACGGTCTAGCGTTTAGGAGGCTTGGGGTTTAGGGCTCCCTCCTCCTGACCAGTCCGACACCAAGGCCGTCTACGCCCGCAGTGAAAAGAGCTCCGCCTAAACCCTAAACCCGAGACCCGAGACCCTAAACCCTAAAACTCCCTAACCTAAACCCTAAACCCTAACCCTAAACCCTAAACCCTAAACCTTTACCCAAAACCCTAAACCCTAAACCCAAGCTCGGCAAGCTCAAAAGCTCGGCGCCCTGCTGACACAAAGGATGCCAGAAGCAGCAGGCGCAGCGCCAGCCAGCGATTCAGCTGATCGAAGGACATGCGGAAGAGGAAGAGGTTGACCTAGCGTCCAGGATTTAGGGTTTAGGGTTTGGGGTTCAGGGTTCAGGGTTTAGGGTTTAGGGTTTAGGGTTTAGGGTTTAGGGTTTAGGGTTTAGGGTTTAGGGTTTAGGGTTTAGGGTTTAGGGCTTACGGCTCAGGGCTTGTGGTCTTGGGGCTGATGGGGTTGCATTTCTGGGTTTTGGGTGCGTTTAGGCTCCAGGTGTGCAATCGGGCATCTCGGGGCTCAGGCACCGAAGCCCCAAACCCACAGAAACCCCAAACCCCACCAAGGGTTTAGGGTTTAGGGTTTAAGGTTTAGGGTTTAGGGTTTAGGGTTTGGGGTTTGGGGTTTCGGGTTTAGGGCTTCCATAAACCTCTGGAAAAACCCTCTCAAAACAAAAGCTTTGCAACCAAGAAACCAGGGGGCCCAGCAGGGACGAGAGGCAAGGCGTCATCGAGTAGGTGGTGGGATCCTTTGGGTGCTTTAGGCGTAAAAGCCTTCGACGGGGTTTCAAGGTTTCGGGTTTAGGAGGAGCGATTATGGTTTGGGGTTTAGGGCTGAAGGCTTACGGGCTTTGGGTGCTTCTTTGGGTTCAGGGGGCTTTGGGCAAGCATGAAACCCTGAACGGATTCAAGGTTGCGAAGAGCTTCAGAGGTATCAGGGCTCACAAGGGCGACCGTGAGAGGGTTTAAGCGTTTGCGGCCCTTGAGGGGTTCAGGGCTTTCGGATGCTATGGATACTTGAAGGTTCAGGGTACTTATGAACTCATCTTAGCTGTACTTCTCACCCACTGAAAAGTGCCCCAATATGGATATATATATATATATATATTGGGTTACAAGTACAGCTATTGTTGGGTTCATATGTACCATAAACCTCCAAGCAGGCTTCTGTGTGACTCGCGGGCTTCATGCAACCCAGGGGCGTTCCCTGAGGTGAAGAGTGAGGCACCCTATATCCCCCTATGTATACCCGTTAAGGGATTACATAGGGTACCTCATTCTCCCATTCCCTGCTAACCAACAGTAAGGTTGCTGACCTCTGCCGAAACGCTGCGCCATCGTACTTATCCTGCTTGGCCTCTGCTGCCCTCAGTATCACTGGGGCCTTTTGCTACCCATGTGGCCTTTGCACTGACAGGGAAGGGGGTGCCTTCCCTTCACAAGAAGCTTGGGGGGGGCGCCTCCCCAAACACGTAGAGGTCCAGCAGAAAGAGCGCGATGACGAAGAACAGGCGCACCAGAGGGTGTCTCCTGCAAGATGAGGTGCCGAGGCCAGGTCTCAGATGAGCCAAAAGAGCATGAGGAGGGTTTGGGGCTTCGGGTTTAGGGTTTAGGGTTTGGGGTTTTGGGTTTAGGGTTTGGGGTTTTGGGGTTTGGGGTTTAGGGTTCCTGAAATTTGGGGCGTTTTTCAGGGGCTTTGCACTGCTATGTGAAGTGCATCATGGTGGACACTTCCGGGCAGCTAAGGGCACAACAGAGCAAGTCTAGAAGCGCGACCAGTGTGTCTCACCAGACCCTGATTCAGGCGGATTCCCTAAACCCCTAAACCCTAAACCCTAAACCCTAAACCCTAAACCCTAAACCCTCAAGCCTAAACACTAAACCCTAAACCCTAAACCCTAACCCTAAACCCTAAACCCCAAACCCTGATTCAGGCGGATTCAGGGTCCAGTAGGTCTGGAAGGCATCGTAGCGGTCGTATAAGCAGTTCTTCTGCGGCTTCAACTCCCTCAGCCTTGGAACGTGATCTCTTCAGGGTAACATTATACATACGTAGGCATACACACCTACATACACGTATACAGAGAGTGTACAATATTAACACATACGCACACATATGTACATAGAATGTGTATGCTCTATTTGACGACCGTCCTGCCCCGCTAAAACATTGTGGTTTGTACTGATGCGATGTCAACAAAACTTGACAAGAAGTTGCACTAGGTCGTTCACCGACCGCAACCAAATCAGGTGCCTACTTACAATGTGCTTGTCAATGAAAACCTGCTTGGACGAGCGCAGAGAGAGGGAGAGGGAGAGAGAGAGAGAATGAAGGAAGGAAGGAAGGAAGGAAGGAAGGAAGGAAGGAAGCAAGAAAGGAAGGAATGAATGAATGAGAGGTCCAGTTAGAGAAATTCCATGAAGGCAAAATGGAAACAGGACTTTATGCTCTCTCTGCCGTCTTTTTCTATCTTATCTCTCCCCCTGCTCTCTTCTGATTTCTGCTTTGCTACAACAACGGAAACGGAACTTTCCCTGCCCCGCTCGGTTTCCTTGTCTTCTCGTCGTTCGAGAGCAAAATGAAACGTCAGGTGAGGAGAGTCATAAATGAAACAGCATTAGCCTACCTTTACTCCTGCTACTCTATCTGCTTGTGTTCTTTGCTCTTCTTCATGCTAACTGGGAAATGGAAGAATGAACCGAACAGAGGAAGAGCAAACGAAACGGAAAGGAAACGATAAGAGACAGGACTAAAACCAGTCGTTTGCTCTTCATAATGTCCTTTCTACTCTCTTTTGCTTTCTTCTATCACCTTTCCGTCCAGGCAACAGGAAAGAACTGAAAAATTAGAGGGGAAGAGGAAATAAAGCAACCAGTCCAAGCAGCAAGAGCAGGTACCAGGATCAAGGGTGCCGTGCGCGCGGCTTACAACAGCTGTCCTTTGTTGCACCTGCCCCTTGTCCGTTCTCCCACCTCATTACACGAAGAACACACAGCCGGGGATAGGGAAGATAACAAGAAGCTCTTTAGTTTTTGTGGCTTCATCTATTTGTTCCTCACCTTTCCCTTTCTATTTCAGACATGCATGGGAAGGGGCGAGAGCTGTCTTCTACTTTCAGCTTCCTTTGGACCTTCTTCACTCAAGAGAAGACGGAAACAGACACGAGTGAACAAAAACGAACAACATCCTCCTGCCACATCCCTGCCTTCTTCTCTTTTGCATTGCCTGTTTTGGTCTTCCCTGCTCACAAACTGGAAGATGGAAGCAATATGGTCTTCTCTGGTCACAGACTGGGAGATGGGGGAAGAATCAACCGAACTGGGATGGAAACGACACAAGACAAGAACCAAAGAGAACTTACCCTCTTCATCCCCCTGCTCTCCGACAGTTCCTTCCTCATCCCTGTTCCTCTCCTTTTGGCTTTTTTTCTAAAGCGAACGGGGCAGAGATTTCGCAGCTTGGGCATTAGGGTTCAGGGTTTAGGGTTTGAAAGCAGAGACGAACAAGAAAGTGGGAAAGGACGAACGAGGGATGGACAGGATAGTTCCCTCCTTCTCTTTGACTTCACGCTGTTTCGATGCTCCCTTTGGCCACTCTGCTGTTGCTGCTCACAAGAAGCTTATGTTGGGATGTATACTAACAGTCCTGAATTGAGATTGTAATACCCCCTATTATACCCCCTACTGAGGACTGTGACTATAACGGGGAGCATCCCAAAGCTTATGGTGGGATGGAATGGGACATTCCTTCAAGCTCTGCTCTCCTATTCACATCACGTCCCTGGTCTTCATAACAAACAGCTGGGCCAAACTTGAGCCCAAAGGCCCTTGCCACATGGTGCTTAGATTTCGGGGTTCGAAATTTCGCGGTTTTAGGTGTTAAGCCGCTGAACAAGGCTTGCCATCACACAAACGTAAACCCCAAAACCCTAAACCCTACTGTAAACCCTCTAGGCTTTTTTTTGGTGCACGCTGCCGGTGGTTTTGGATCCCGATCTTGGTTTGGGACGTAGGGCTTAGCGTTTACGAGCTTCAGAGGGCTTTGTTCCAGCAATTGGGGTGTTCCCCCCTGATACTAACAGTCCTTAAACGGGATTCTAGTACCCCCTACTAGAATCCCTATGAAGGACTGTTAGTAGAAGGGGAAAAACATCCCCAACAGCAACGAATGAACCAGCACCTTGAACCACCTTTGCAGTCCAGAAACTTCTCCACCAGATCTTCGCCGGTCACAGTAGCCGAGGCCCTTCCCTGCTGTGGATCAAAGGAGTCAAGGTTGAAGGCTTGCAGCTTAGGCGCATATAGAGGAGTGTACTACAACATAGAGGGATACCGAAAAAATAGGGATCTTGCCTCATACGGTGTCCAAGACCTCCTGAATACTCAAAGGAGCCCAGAGCCAGCCAAAGCAACCAAATTCTATGAACCATCACAAAGACACGTATAATTCTGGTTCAACGAATGTTCCTGGATTCATTGTGGGGTATTGGTCTCTCGGGGATCGTGTCCGCATCAACTTTTCAAGATGTGCCATGCCAAAGGCCATACAAATACTCCGACCTTTCTAGAGACCGAGTTGAAGTTCGCAGTGGCAGAGTGCTCATAGCAACCAATGGGCCCGCAGCAGAGGCGAGAAGGGGGCGCTCCGGGCGTCTTTTTGGGTCAGCATTCCGGAAGGAAGGTGCGTACAGCATCCTACAGCACTTGAATCTCCCAGAGAGCCCAGTGCCCGAACTAAGGAATATACCCTACATCTATCTAGGGATTCTTCATGTGATCTAAGGGATATTCCTTATGAAGGGGCATTGGGCTCTTTGGGTCCCCAAGCTGCGTAACAACCTGAAACCAGGAGAGGCCCCTACGTGCAGAGGGTCCCTAAACCCTGCAAAACCCTAAACCCTAAACCCTAAACTCTAAACCCTAAACCCTAAACCCCAAACCCCCTAAATCCTAAACCCTCAACCGTGGAATCAGCCCAGCTGCATGCTTTAGAATGCTTTTCTTGGTGCCCTCTGAGCTCAAAACCAACAACCAATCTGGAAACCCCGGTTTAGGGTTTAGGGTTCAGGGTTTAGGGTTTAGGGTTCAGGGTTTAGGGTTTAGGGTTTAGGGTTTAGGGTTTAGGGTTTAGGGTTTAGGGTTTAGGGTTTAGGGTTCAGGGTTTAGGGTTTAGGGTTTAGGGTTTAGGGTTTAGGGGCTAGAAGGGCGTTTGGTTGGGATGATCCCCCTTTTTTCTACTAGCAGTACCTTCATAGGGATGGTAGTACTCCCTAGTATAATCCCTACTAGGGACTGTTAGTATAAGGGGAGCATCCCACGAGTCTGTATGTCTGATGTCTGGCTTTCGGGCTATCGAACCCAGAGGACTCCCCCCACCCTTTAGGGTTTAGGGTTTAGGGTTTAGGGTTTAGGGTTTAGGGTTTAGGATATAGGGTTTAGGGTTTAGGGTTTAGGGTTTAGCGTTTAGAACCCTCCTAAACCCTCATCGCGACCTCTCTCTCGCCGTCCGCGGTCCACCGGCGGACCGTGCCTCCCAGGAGAAAGCGAACGCTTGGGGTGAAGGGTGGGTCCCCCAACACCCTAAACCCTAAACCCTAAACCCGAAACCCTAAACCCTAAACCCTAAACCCTAAACCCGAAACCCTAAACCCTAAACCCGAAACCCTAAAACCCAAAGCCCAGATCATCCCAAAGTCTGCAACCCGCACTTAGAAGCTCTTTTGAAGATTCCCCACAACCCACCTTACTAAGCCCCAGCTACTAAGGCAAAAGAGCTTACAAGCACAGCACAGGAGGTCCGAGTCAGGCGTCGTGTCTCCACAATGGGACTTCTGGGAGTTGAGGGCTCGAGATTCTTGGAAACAGAAGCCCTGAGCCCTAAAGTTGAACCCTAAACCCGAAACCCTAAACCCTAAACCCTAAACCCTAAACCCTAAACCCTAAACCCTAAACCCTAAACCCTAAAGCAAGTTGGGATTGGGAGGCTGAACCACAACCCCATGGATGCCTCGCGGCTGAATCTTGTGTCGAAGGCCCGCCATGATTCCTTTGGAGATGCTTTCAAGGTTAAGGGTTTGGGTTTAGGGTTTAGGGTTTAGGGTTTAGGGTTTAGGGTTTAGGGTTTAGGGTTTAGGGTTTAGGGTTTAGGGTTTTAGGGTTTAGGGTTTAGGGTTTAGGGTTTAGGGTTTAGGGTTTAGGGTTTAGGGTTTAGGGTTTAGGGTTTAGGGTTTAGGGTTTAGGGTTTAGGGTTTAGGGTTTAGGGTTTAGGTTTGTTTAGGGTTTAGGGTTTAGGGTTTAGGGTTTAGGGTTTAGGGTTTAGGGTTTAGGGTTTAGGGTTTAGGGTTTAGGGTTTAGGGTTTAGGGTTTAGGGTTTAGGGTTTAGGGTTTAGGGTTTAGGGTTTAGGGTTTAGGGTTGGTTTAGGGTTTAGGGTTTAGGGTTTAGCTCGGAAAGGTGAGAGTTGGGGACCGGACCGAAACAGCTGCATGAACAACCTGATCACCCACCCTCGGTTGCCGCTTGCCCCACACCCCGGTAAAGGGCATTTATATTCCGAACACTTCTTGGACGTTTTCCTGAACCCTAAACCCTCAACCCTCAACCCTCAAACCTAAAACCTAAAACCCGAAACCCTAAACCCTAAACCCGTTTTTTTTTGGGGGGGGCTTGTCGAACCGAAAAGGAGACAAGAGTCTGGAATGATCCGACGATGTAGATGCCATGGCTTCACGTGTGCTCACAAGCGGCAACAAATTCCAACATGCAGGTGGGGCTAGACTTCCGTGCGATGCGAATGCGCACTCAGGTTGACAATCACCGAAGCCTCCTACGAAGATCTGCTGCGCAGCTGCGCAGCACGTCTTCTCCCGCTGGCTCAAGCCAAAAGCGGGAAAAAATGTGGAACAATCAACGTTGAAGAGCAGGCCCAACTCAAGCTGTTGAGGCTTGAGCTGGTAGCCGGGTGTTTCGGGAGACATGGCTTCCGCTTCTTGGGGCAGAGAGGGGTGTGAAAGAGCAACTAAGCTGCGTGGGCACGCGAACCATGCGGCCGGCCTAGATCCGAAATACCTGCACCCCTTGCAGACGCACCCTGGGCCGGCCCCAAAATCCCGTACGGTTCTAATTGGTAAATAAGTACCCTGGACCTTCAAGTACCGCCCATACTTTACGTTCCTTTTGACTGTAAGTGAGAGAAATTTGAAAGTCTTGGACCTCGCACGAGACGTCCGATTAAATGCTTTCCCCCTTATACTAAACCCCCACCCGAATTCTAAATGTTATTGTTCCCGAACCCTACCCAGCCCAATACTAAACCTGTTTAAGAATTAGGGGGGTTAAGGGCCTCCGCCCTTGAGTTGAGCCATCAGGGTTTAGAATTTGGGTTTAGGGCTTAAGGCTCAGAGGATTTCCAGGGTTTAGGGCTCAAGGCTCAGGGGGTTTAATTCGGGTTTAGGGCTGAAGGCTAAACTGTAACTGAACCCTAAACCCCAAACCCCCAAACCCCAAACCCCCCCTCCGTCTCTCCCGATTTTAACTCCAATCGCTCGGCTCCAGAGGGGTTTAGGTCCCCCCCCCCCGAATTTCAAACATCTTCCGGCCGGAGGCGAATTTCAGAATTGCGGGGGGGGGGGGGGGGGGGGGGGGGTGGGTGTTAGTATCAGGGGGAGGCGACTACACTCAGCGTCGTCGTGTTCAAACATCCTCACGGGAGGTAGGGGCCCTGGTAGCCTTCAGTCGGCGGGGCGGCGCAGTTGTGCACGTAGAAGCCGAAGCCCTCGGAGGTCGGTACGTGCTCTCCCTGAAGTACCTCCAGCATGGAGCTCCGATTCTCCCAGAAGATGTGGCCTGAGAAGCGCGGAAGCGTTTTTTTTTAGCCGTGGCTGTGAGACTTTTCGAATTCGTTTTTGCTTAGCCGTGGCTGTCTCCCTTGGCCAGGGCTAAGGAAAAAAAACACCTCCAACCTTGGCTGGAGCGTTTTTTTTGCTTAGCCGTGGCTGTGAGGCTCCCTTGCAGCCAGGGCTAAGCAAAAAAAAACACCTCCAACGTTGGCGGGAGCGTGTTGTTTTTGCTTAGCCGTGGCTGTGTGCCGCTTTTGCAGCCAGGGCTAAGCAAAAAAAACACCTCCAACCTGGGCGGGAGCGTTTTTTTTTGCTTAGCCGTGGCTGTGAGGCTCCCTTGCAGCCAGGCTAAGCAAAAAAAACACCTCCAACCTGGGCGGGAGCGTTTTTTTTTGCTTAGCCGTGGCTGTCTCCCTTGGCAAGGGCTAAGGATTTTGTTTTTTTTTGCTTAGCCGTGGCTGTGAGGCTCCCTTGCAGCCAGGGCTAAGCACAAAAAAACACCTCCAACCTTGGCGGGAGCGCTTTTTGGCTTAGCCGTGGCTGTGAGGCTCTTTAGGGTTTAGGGTTTAGGGTTTAGGGTTTAGGGTTTAGGGTTTAGGGTTTAGGGCTTGGGGTTTAGGGTTTAGGGTTTAGGGTTTAGGGTTTAGGGTTTAGGGTTTAGGGTTTAGGGTTTAGGGTTTAGGGTTTAGGGTTTAGGGTTTAGGGTTTAGGGTTAGGGTTAGGGTTTAGGGTTTAGGGTTTAGGGTTTAGGGTTTAGGGTTTAGGGTTTAGGGTTTAGGGTTTAGGGTTTAGGGTTTAGGGTTTAGGGTTTAGGGTTTAGGGTTTAATGTTTAGGGTTTAATGTTTAGGGTTTAGGGTTTAGGGTTTAATGTTTAGTGGCGCCCAGGCGGCCAGGTGTCCAGAGCACCAACGGACAACCCTGTCTGGAACCCAAACTGAGGTTTGGCGTTTAGGGGTTTAGGGGCTTAGGGGTTTAAGGGGTTTAGGGGGTTTAGGGGGTTTAGGGGGTTTAGGGGGTTTAGGGGATTTAGGGGGTTTAGGGGGTTTAGGGGGTTTAGGGGGTTTAGGGGGTTTAGGGGGTTTAGGGGGTTTAGGGGGTTTAGGGTGCTTCCGGGAACCAGGCGTCGATTTAGGGGTTAGGTTCTTTAGGCTTTATAGGGTCTAGGGCACCCGCACGCGGATTTCAAAAAAACTCCAAACCCTTACTTAAACACTCACCCTACTTATAACGGCGGAGGAGTTTTTTTAAAAGGTGTGGCTCCCCCCCTTTTTTTGAAAAGGTGTGGCGGGTCATTTTTTTTTAAGGTGTGGCTCCCCCCTTTTTCCTCTGAAGGTACAAGAAATAGCAGGCGGGGGGGGGGGGGGGAATTTTTTTCACAGGTGTGGCGGGAGTAAAGGTTTGGCAGTCCCCCCCCTCCCGCTTCCCTCTTCCACTCTTCCTCCCCCCCCCCCCCGAAAGCTTGCATGCATATGAAAAACCATGGTTTTAGTGTGTTTTCATACGGAAAAAAACTAGTTTTGGTGTGTTGCCAGACGAAAAACCATTGTCTTGGTGTGCTTTCATGCGAAAAGCCATGGTTCTGGTGTGTTTGCATACGAAAAACCACAGGCGAAATAACTAGTTTTAGTGTGTTTTCATACCGAAAAACCGTAGTCTTGGTGTGCTTTCATGCGCAAAACCATGGTTTTGGTGTGTTTCATACGAAAAAAACCATGGGTTTTATGCTGTACAGAGCTACACGTCGCGTTCTGGCCTCATTTGAAAAAACCATAGTTTAGGTGTGCTCTCACACGGAAAACCATTGTTTGGGTGTGTTTTCATGCGAAAAACACAGCTGTTATGCTACAAGTCGCGTTCTAGCCTTAGCCCCGTGTATCAGAGAACCCCATAGAAAAGTTTTGGTGTGTTTTCATACTAAAAACCACAGTTGTTGTGCTACAAATCGCGTTCTAGCCTTAACCCCGTGCATCAGCCTGATGGGTTTCAAAAAAGATTCATATGCCTCGAAGCAAGCTTGCACGGCTTAAAAGGCGGGGGGGGTTGGGGGACGCAGCCCCCCCCATTTGCAAACTCCATGCTTGCATGATGGGTTTCAAAAAGACTCATATGCTTTGAAGCAAGTTTGCACGGCTTAAAAAAGCGGGGGGTTGGGGGGGGGCGCAGCCCCCCCCCAATTTGCAAATTCAATGCTTGCATGATGGGTTTCAAAAAGACTCATATTCTTTGAAGCAAGCTTTGCTCGGCTTAAAAAGCGAGGGGGTTGGGGGGGGGGGCACCCCCCCCATTCGCAAACTCAATGCTTGCATGATGGGTTTCAAAAAGACTCATATGCTTTGAAGCAAGCTTGCACGGCTTAAAAAAGCGGGGGGTTGGGGTGGGGCGCAGCCCCCCCCATTTGCAAACTCAATGCTTGCATGATGATGGGTTTCAAAAGATTCATATGCTTTGAAGCAAGCTTGCACGGCTTTAAAAAGCGGGGGGCGCAGCCCCCCCCCATTTGCAAACTCAATGCTTGCATGATGGGTTTCAAAAAGAGATTCATATGCTTTGAAGCAAGCTTGCACGGCTTAAAAAGCGGGGGGGGTTGGGGGGTGCGCCCCCCCCCCCCCATTTGCAAACTCAATGCTTGCATGATGAAGATATTCTATAAAACCTTTGAAGCAAACTTGGACCACGCGGACCACGGGACCACGGGACCAGCGGCCGTCCGACAGTCGCACCGTCTAAGCGTCTGACCGTCCGACCGTCCGACCGTCTGACCGTCCGACCGCCAGACCGTCCGACCGTCCGACCGTCTGACCGTCCGACCGTCTGACCGTCCGACCGTCTGACCGTCCGACCATCGGACCGTCTAACCGTCCGACCGCCTGACCGTCCGACCGTCCGACCGTCAGACCGTCCGACCGTCCCGACCGTCTGGCCGTTAATTTCACTTGTAAACATGAGAGGCATTAGCCGTGGCTGTGGAAACCCTTGCAGCCAGGGCTAAGCAAAAACAAACACGGGGCCCCCTGAGAAGACACCAGGCAGCCCTACTTGGAGGTTCAGGGTACTTAGTAACCAACTATAACTGTACTTACAACCCACTTGTAGGCCCCTTCAGTGCCCTAACATGGTACAGTTTTTAGGTACAGTCATACTTGGTGAATAAGTACCATGAACCTCTAAGTATAGTATGCAGCTAACTCGGCATCGGCCCCCAAACAGCGCAACTAAGACCACGACGAGGGCACATCGCACAGCGTGCGACCCAAACATACTCGAACCCGAGCTTCAACCATATTCCATCCGAAGCATGGCAAACCCCCGTCAAGAGATCCAAACTTTTGAACCCCTCGGGCCTGAAGTATGTTTCAGCTCCATCTTCCGGCACTTCAGGAAGTCGGCGAAGTGCTGCTCGTCGCCTACTCTCCCGCCCCCCACCCCACCCCCTCCCGGCCCCGCCCCCCCTCAACGAAAAAAATCTGCTGCCGATGACTATGAAGCTCAGAACGCCCCTACACCCGAAACCCTCACACCGCCTAAAAACCAAGTCGCAGAGCCCCATGCTGATCCAAATGGTGTGCTCCTCATCGTAGTCCATTGCGACTTGCGCCCCGCAGCCTTTGCTGAGCATCACTCGCATCTTATGACCATCACGATTCTTGGAATATTTATTCCGACTCAAGGCGTTTTGGGGAGAGCTTACAAGCTGACTGGGGGGCTTTGAAGATTTGGGGGCTTCGGCTCGAGGGCACACCCGAAGCCCGAAGCCCTAAACCCTACCCCCGTGTCTTCTCCGAACTTTGAACCCCCATACAGATCCAGGGCCCGAACCTGCCACGAAGGGGGTTTAGGGTCCGGGGTTGAGGGTTCAGGGTTTAGGGTTCAGTTTCAAATTTTTGTGGGTAGACCTAGGAAATAAGCAACCGCACGCCCCAACCCTAAGCCCCGCGCCCCAACACCCAAGAAACCTAAACCCGAAACCCTAGACTCAAGCCCAAAACCCTAAACCCTAAACCCTAAACCCTAGACCCTAAACCCTAAACCCTAAACCCTAAGTCGAGTCACCGCCGCAGAAGCGGCGCTTGGCGACTTTGGTGGGAGCGAACTCCTTGTCGGGGACTTTGGGGGGGCTCGTGGACTTCTACACCCCCAAAAACCCTCTAAACCCTCAAACCCCCTTAAAACTTGACAAGCCTGAAGACTATTGAAACCATCAATCCTTGAACCCTCCCCCTCCGCCTAAACCCCCGAAACCCCCTAAACCCCCTAAACCCTAAACCCCAGACCCTAAACCCTAAACAAACCCTAAACCCAGGACTGAACCCCCCCAAGAGGCTCCTTCAAAGTGTCGCGGCGCAGAAACTCCACGTCGGCTCGTGGGAAGGCGGCCCAGTGCATTTGCATGGCACCAGAAACGCGCCGGCAGGACTGACAGTTGCAGGTGAGGATCCTCGGCTTCTGGTTTAGGGTCTTTGGGGTTTAGGGTTTAGGGTTTGGGGTTTAGGGTTTAGTGTTTAGGGTTTAGGCTTTAGGGTTTAGGGGCTTACGGTTTGGGATTTTGGGGTTGAAGAAGAGGCTTGATCTAAGAATCCAAGCTCTGGACTTTTTCGGGATACCCGAAGCACCCAGAATGTTGATAGGGCTCAGGCTGCCAGGCTCACCTTGTCAGCGGACAGGAAGCACAGCAAAAACAATGCGCTTATTGGTCAAGCGACTGCGCCGGACTGCCTTCATGCAGGTTAACTTGAAACTGTACGCTCCCACAGCCGCACGTTCCTTTCACCAGGGTACCGCTGGCCATGGGTCAAGAAGGCTTCAAGATATGGGCGTTTTCCCAAAGAGGGGGGTACCTTCTTCGGTGGGTCCTACAAGAAGGGAGTACAGAATCGGGGTACCCCCTATGTTGGCAAATGCTCATATCAACTGTGTTCGAGTGTCCCGAGTACCCTGACCCCCTCAACACCCCTCATCCCTCAACCCTAAACCCTAAACCCTAAACCTAATGTCCCAGGCGATGCGCGTTCTTGGAAGACGGGCCTCTCCTGAAGTGGCGGCGGGCTGCAAAAAGCAAGCGTTGAGCATCAGAAACCCTATATGGGGTGTAGGGTTTTTGGATTTAGGCTTTTTGGGTTTTAGGGGTTAGGCCCTCAATTGGGATGTTCCCCCGTATACTAACAGTCCTGAATCGGGATTTTGGTACCCCCTATTCTAATCCGCATTAGGGACGGTTAGTATAAGGGGGAACATCCCAAACCCTCAACCCTAAGCCCCTAAGCCTCAAGCACTAAACCTTCCTACGGACACAAAGCTTTGAGACGGGAGGGCATGGGAAGCGGGCCACGTGCAAGCGACCCTCAAGGCCCCTCTTTCAACCCCAACCGTTGTATATGTTGGGTCGACCGGAATAACAGAACAGCAACATCGGAAACCAGAACTCCTGAGACGGCTACTTCGGAAAACGGGAAACGGGAGGGGGGAGGGGGCAGGACGGGCAGCGCACAACGTCTATTTGGTACATATATATATATAGAGAGAGAGAGAGAGTAGAGAGAGAGAGAGAGAGAGACAGAGAGAGAGAGAGAGAGAGACAGAGACATATACACACACACACACACAGATGTATATATATATATGTATTAGAGAGATAGATAGATAGATAGATCGATAGTTAGATAGATAGATATACTGCACTAGATACACCCCCCAGATATGACAATCCTTATCAAAGGAAGCCCCGAAACGCTACCGGGCCAAAGGGCCACAGCACCAAGCCCGGGTGAAGGTTTGAGGGTTTGAGGGTTGTAGGGGTTCAAGGTTAGGGTTTGGGGTTTGAGGGTTTGAGGGTTTGAGGGTTTTAGGGTTTTAGGGGTTCAAGGTTAGGGTTTAGCGCTTAGGGTTTTAGGATTCTAGGCGTTTAGGCTACCAGGATTTAACGCTTAGGGTTGTGGGGTGGGGTGCATGGCCTTACAGTGAGGACCCTAGACGCGGAACCAAACCCGAAAAATGTTCCCAGCAAGCATGAGGGATGTAGGGCACGGTCAGGGATCTCAAGTCTTTTTTTAATGTCTGCACCGAGCCCGTGCGCTGACTCATGCCGGCTGAAAGCCTATGAAAAGTAGGCCTACCCCCAGTACCGCCATTAGCAATGGTGCAGCAAAAACTTCTCGGAGTCTGTGTACGTTTCTTTGCTTCGCGCCGACCATCTCGCCAGATCTTTTGGAACGAAGCAGAACAGCTTGCCCGCGGACAACAGCAGCACCACGTCACGCTACACTCGCACCTTTGCATGCACTGCTCTATGCATGGAAGGTGCTGCCCAGGAGGGGACCTCGAAGAAACCTGCCTCCGTCACGCTGCCGAAGTTCGTGATGATCCGGTCGAACTTCCACACGAAACCCTCGTTGACCTTGTGGCAGCAGCTGACGAAGGGCGGGGATGATGCTATGGCCGGCATTTCTGGCATTCCAAGAGCCTGGGCAACATCCACCTCCACTGAACTCGGAACCCTCGCAAAAAATTTTTGTTGCTGTTTCTTGGGAATTATACTGCCATGTAGTGCCCAATTTTTTTTTAAAATATTTCCAAGTGCCCCTAAGCCACGCTGTCACCATGCTCTTGATTGGTGTCCCCGATAAAGATCGTCCGCTGCACTCCGGTTGAATGAACGACCTGCGCGAGGGCAGCTCTGAGCTTTGGCACGGTGATGTGATGCGGGTAATGCGCGCCCACGACCACAACTTCCGAAAGTGGGGAGCCAGCAAGGGACTCAAACATCTGCACGTTGAAGGCGCGGTCCTTGTGCGTGATGCACCCGGAGGCACGGGAACCTCCCCTGGATGACGGCTTCCATCTCGAAGAGTCGTAGATCAACAAGGCGTTCTCTTTGGCATTGCATGTGGCTTTGAGAACCCCGTAGCCGCCAGGAGGCCGGTAAGAAGGATCCACAAGTTCAATGACGTTCGCGAAATCGATCCGCATGTTCCTCAACCCTTGATTTAAGAGTGACTTAGCCCGCTCCTTGCAAACCTGTTGGCTTTTGAGGTAAAAGCATTGCCAATGGGGATTCCACTGGTAGATGCGAAGCTCCGACGGGGAGCTGCTGTTCAGAGCTTGGAACTGTTCTGCTGAAGACTTCCGACTTCGATGTTGCAGAGCGTTGAAGCCGCAATCCTTCAGATGGCACTCATTGTCGGAATCAAACGCGTCAGCATCAAACGGCTGAGCAGCGGATGGAAAAACAAGGGCCGCGAGGAACAAGAACCACGGCGGCATGAAGTGCGCGCTGTATGCGAACGCTGTTACAACAAAAGAGAAAGACTGAATTGGCTGTTGAGCCCAGCAGCGACCGAAAAACACTCGTCGAATAGCAGACACACTCACCATGAAATCACCCTTTTCAGCCTGCAGATTCGCATTTTCCCATGCCCCACGACCAAGCTCAGCTTTAAAGTATCTGTTACTGTGGAACCACGGAATGCATGGGAAATGCCTAATTACGTTGCAGACCAAGTTACCCTACACCACAGTGCAACTGGCTCGGATAGAAAAACACATTTGCTGGTGCTGAGGGGGGGCCGTGCAAAACGATTGTAGAACCAGCGCGCAAAGCTCGTCAGCCATTTTGTGCTGAACCTGCAGTCACCCCCATGTGAATATAGTTCCCCAAAGAATCCGACGACCCTCTCAATGCTTCCGGTCGGCGCAGACGCTCTCCTCTAGGTGCTTCCAAATCACGAAACATAACCATATCGATGTTTCCAAGTGCCCGCAAAGCCAAAATTCCACAGACGATCTTTCACAGCAACCAATCTTGGATGTACATTTGACCCTAAACCCTAAACCCCAAACCCCAAACCCTAAACCCGAAACCCGAAACTGTGTTTGCAAGAACCATGGATCCATCAAAGGATCTAGGAATATATGATATTTCGAGAGCCCGGGCACGTCGCCATCAACCTTTTTGTACCCCTAAACGCTGAACCCGACATCCCCCCGAAAGCCCTGGCATCTACAGGCGATGAAAGTTCCATGTCAGGTTCGAAGCATCATAAACACATAACAAGAAAAAACGAAAGGCCATTCCATGCATGGACTTGTCCGTTTCTCTGTTTAAAACGCTTGTTTGTTCAATTGGCGTCTGCTTTCACACTCCCCATATATGAAAGATGCTTCTCCTATTATTCTGGAAGAGCGTCCTACATGCAAACGACGCAAAGTGTCGATGGATCTGCAAAGTGAATGATCACGCTCGATACGCATGGTTATCTTCGGCTTCTAAATACGAATTAGTTTCTGCCGCCCAAGTGATTTCGGTCTCTTGGGGGGTGCTGGGGGTGTTCGGTGCAGAGCGGTCAAGGGGCGTCGGCACACTTGTTTGTTGCGTTAACTTGTGTGTTCTGTCTGGGCGCCGAGTTGGAACACACTTTCTTTCTGTGAGTGGGGGCCGACATCGCTACATTAATCTGTTTCCCAACTCTGGACCCAACATCGGTGCCAACATGACTTGCTTGCTTACGGCGCAAAGCGAGATGTCGAGCATGCTGTCCGGTTCTGTTGACTGGGCATTCACGCACGAAAAACATGTTCATAGGAGGCCTCTCTCCCACGCTGACAAGAAGCCTCCTTGTTTTTGTTTTAGCCACACACACACACACCACACCAACACACACACCAACACACACACACACACACACACACACACACACACACCCACCCACCAACCACACACACCAACCACACACCACACACCACACACCACACACCACACACCACACACCAACCACACACCCACATCCACGCCACATCACACACCGTCATATACCATACTCACTCACACCATCACACTACGACCACCACACCACGTAGCACCACCCCACGTCCACACCCACCATCAACACACTCCACACACAACCACACCTCCACTCAACCAGCAGACTGAAGTGCTCCTTTGTTCGTTTTGCCCTTATTCGGGGCACTTTCAATGCCCACATTTCTCTTCTCACTCTCAATGCCCACATTTCTCTCTCACTCTCAACACCCACACACATGCGCACACAGCCACGCTCGCAGACACTCACACCTCTACACCACCCACCACACCACCTCTCCACACACACACACACACACACACTCTGGCGGACTTCCGCTTTTTCATGGCCCCAGAATGTCTTTCTCTCTAGAGCTGTATTCACACAGAAGTCCCACCCGCCAGCCCTCACGACGCGCAAATCGAGCAGTTCAGCTGATCAGCCATCCTCGCATGGAACTACCAAATTCCCAACCGGGCGGTTCCATGCTAGACGTACAGCACTCGAGCTTCGCAACCGAGCAAATGTGCGTTTTCCTTCCTTTCCGCCCACCTTCTTGAAGCGGCAAGGAACCCGCCTCCCGACCCTTGGAAAGTTTCTTGCCCCCCTGCCTTCTACCAGCAGCCGACGCGAAGACTCACCACCCCTGACCTAAACGCAAAACTCGCACTCCAAGCAACTCTGCTACAACACGCTCTGCACCGCAGCAGTCTTGGCTGCATTCTTGTTGAACATCCTACCATGCCCACGCCGCGATGATCTGCCAGGCCGCTTACGCACAGCGGCAGCCGGCAGCATCAGCGTCACCACGGCTCCGTCCAATGCAAACTTCTCTTAAGACGCTTCGACTGGTATTCGCAGATCTGGTCTGAACTCATCGATCACTCCACACGTTTTGTCGGCTTTGCATCAACACGAAAGAAGTCCCCCTCTTCCACAGTGATGCACTTGACCACTTGCATCGGGATCATCGGGCACCTGCTGATCTTCTTCTGAATTATTCTCAGAACCAAGAGGACCGCGAGGGGGAATTTCGCAAACTTCTTCGGTCTTAGCACAGAGTTACATGCGAATAATGGCCCCAGAAAAGGCCTGACACGCTGTAAGGTCCGCCCACAAACGATAAGCGCCCCAGCACGGCTTGAAAAGCCCTGTCCATCACTTCCCCCGCAGCCACATGTTTGTAAAGCCATTCGGCAAACCATTTTACCTTCTTGCTTGCGCAAAGGATTTCTAGAATGGGTTCAAGCGGCGCAAGAAAGGATGGCAAAGATGCTGTGGCAAAGACATTTTGGCGCATGGTGGAAGGAAAGATGACGTTCTTCCCATTCCATGGATCAGCAGCAACAGTGGGCAAGATTGATGCATTGTTGCTTAAACTTAGAATTGATGCGCGGCGAAGACCGACAGATCAGTGCACCTCTGTCAAGAAAGCCAAGTGCTCCGCCGGACAACGACCTTATGGCATAAGTGTAAGACAGTGGGAGAAATGTTCTTTTTAAGTGTGAAAAGCAGAGCTCGCGCAGCAGTCTCTTTTTCACCTTGCACTTGAGCCAAACACCAAAGTGTTCAGCAAGCTTCAGTTCTTGCAGCAAGCTCTCTCCAAGAGCTAAGGGCTCCAAAAAGCTACGAATTCCATCTCAACTTTGTTCTACAAAGGAGGTAAAGCAAAAGAACAATGCAACTGCTTTGGGCTACACCTCGGGGACTTAAGGTCACTTCCGAACAGCAAAACAGCGAAGCTTCAGAGTCCACTCTGCACTCCTACTCCCATCCTACACGTCCAACGGCAACGAACGAAGTGGCGGGGACACGGAGTGAGTTGCAGCAAGACAGAACCTCAGAGTTCTGACACGCACTTCTTCACTACTGCTCTCATGCAGTTCCAAGTGCTTCAAAACTCATCCTCGGCCATGCCAACAAGACAAGACATGTGTCGCAGTCAACCCAAACATGCTTTAGGGACTTTGGGCAAACCAAACATGCTCATGCCAAGTCATGCAGCAGAAAAACTCTCATGCTTCTCTCTGTACAGTAAAACACCACATGGCACCAACTGGGCAAACACTACAGGTGAATTTTTCTTCAGCAAGCGCAAAGCGTTACCCAGTGGGCGTCCTTCATGCAAACGAATTCACCCGGAGCCCCTTTGGGGCGAGACATTGTCTCTCGGGCAGTCGGTCACCCTGCTACGGCAAAACCACAGCTCAAAAGCCGGGAATGTGGTGCACCCACAGGCCATCTACAGGGAACTATGTTACAGCTACTCATCAGGAAGGAGTTGCGACCTCAGCCCAAAGGCTGGGAAATTGGATGCCCCCAGAGAAGCAGCTCTGTTTCCACAGCCTCCTAGGCCGGGGTGGTGCACAGCCAGCGAACTTCTTCCCCCAAGGGTCCAAGGGTGTTGCAGATCTGGTCAAAACACGCCTGGGGTGGACCCCTGGAAACTTGCCGAAAGTAGCCCACATCATGGGGGCAGTATTTGGCAACTACCCTCCAAAAGCCCGTCCATTCCGGCCTCCCTTGGGAGGGGCCCCAGTTGTTGGCATCGATGAAGGCCGGAAGGGGAACCATCCTCGTGCCCAGCGGCCTGTGGCTCAGGTTTGAAATGCCAACATCCTTGGCATCTACCCCACAGGCATACAAGTGCAACAAGGTGGCCAACGTGGCCAGAAGGTAGGAGTGCACACGGAGACCATTGGCAGCATTTTCCTGGAGCCACTCACGGGCCTGGCAGTGATGCTCTTGCACGTGGTACAGGAACCGATGCAGGCCCGCACCTGGCACACCTTCGGGTCCTAGTCCAATCCACATGGAGCCACTGGTGAGGATGGGAGCCAGGAGCCGGGGAAAGCGCCCCGCCATATCGATCTCCGGACCGTTCAGGGATGCATCATCCGTGAGCTTCAAGACCAACGCCTGAGACAGCTGGTAGCCTACACGGCTTTGTCCCCAGCCCAAGCGCGGGAGAACTCGGGCTTCCACCACAACCTGCCGTAAGTGTGAGCTCTGGAGGGAGGAAGTGCCGAGGCGAGGTGGGCCGCTTGATGTAGCTTGCTGCTTCACCAGCCGCGTGCACACCCGGGGTAAAGTCCTGAGCTTCCCTACGCATGCGTTGCCGCCGGCCCCAGAAGGACTCCTCCTCATGGGCTGGGTCTACAGGGGGCCCGGCCGGCCCTTGCCTCTGAGGGGGTCTGGGCCGTGCCTGCTGGTTGGGAAGGTCACGGCTGGACCTAGCCTCCTCTGAACCGAACGCAAATCCACACCGGACCCTGCTGCCTGAGGCCTCCTCCTTCGCGGAGGGGTGGGCGGGGTTGGGCTGTCCACAGAGCGCAAGCCGACGGTCGCGCCGAGGAGCCGGAGGGGGGGGAGGCGGCCATGCCTTCGCCGCCGGTTGGGCCGAAGAGCTGGAACCACCAGGAGCCGCCTCCTCAGGGAGGGGTGCCCCTTCCGGCTGGTCGTCTCGCACAGGAAGGCCTTGGTCTATACGCTGTTGCCTTCGGATGTGGGGTGGGGGTCGTCGCTTGGAATGCTGGAGGGTTGCCGTAGAACGCCACGACTTCCCCTCTGCCATTCGTTGGCGCTGCTCGCGCCAAAAAGGGCCACGACCCCTGCCCTGTGAGCCCCCCATCACTGCGTCTTGAAGCGAAGGGTCTACTGACCGGAGGGAAGCTCTTTCTTCTTTTTGGCACGGCTGGCCGGCTTTGGGGCAGGCTCCTTGGCAGGCCCGGCGTCGCGTGCACTTGCTCCAGGAAGGGAAACCGCTTCCTTTGTCTTGCCAGGCCCCACCTCAGACACGTGCAAAGCTGCAGCCTTAGGAAGGGAAGCCACTTCCTTTAGAGCTGAAGAAGAACCTGGAGAGTCCGGCCGCCCAGGAGGCGTGGAAACCGAGGCCTGGGCATGAAAGGACAGGGTTTGGTTATTGTGGAGTTTTTTACAGGGTTTCTGGAGACCTAAACAAGGCTGAGAATGGCCTGGAAGGAGGGTAAGATGGCACCCGGAGCACAGCCATCTACGTCCTTCATTTTTGAGCCGGTGCGTCGGGTGGAGGGTAGGCCAGAACTGGGGACCGTTATGGGGCATGTCAATGCACGGCTGCGCAAGCAAACGTTCTAGCCTATCCATCTCATGAACCTGCTGGAGGTAAAGCTTACACTTCGCACAAGTGATTGCAAGATTATTAGTTTTTAACCCCCCTACTTGCCAGACATGACCACCTACTGCTTCCGGGACATCAACTTTTGCCAGCAAAAGCTAGCGCTTATTAGGCCCTTTGGGCGGTTGGGGTTCCTCTCTTTGGCTTCGGGGGACAAAATCATCTTTTGAGGCGTGTTTCAAAACAACCACAGCTCGCGACGCCAGGTAATCGCAGATCCTGGTTACGAGCCTATCCAGGTCCTGGACTTTCCGCCCTGCTACAGGCGATATGGTGGCAGCTCGTTTGCCTGCCAACTCGTCCGCGCATTGGTTGGCCTGGTGTCTCCAAAGCTGGGAAAAGCCAAACCGCATTTCGAACTCACGGCTAGTTAGGTGGGATTTTACCCAAGTGGGCCTTATCCTACCGCGGTCCTCCCAGACCGGGCCCCAAAAAGCCGGGGTCGTTTTTTGAAAGGATTTTTTGGTAAGGGTCCTTAGGGCTGGTTTACAGTCCCCCGTGAGGTCAACCTGACCAAGGGTGTGTTTGATCGTCTGCACAATGGCAAAAGATTCACCGTGCGCGACGCTTGTTCCGGGGGGGGTGAGGCCGGACATGGTTCCTAACTCCTGAAACTGACCATTTTGAACCCGCCCCACGACTACAGACCAGCTCACCCTTCGCAATCTCGGATCCTTGGTGAACATGCCCCCTGACGCGTCCGTAGCAACCACCAGCCCGTCTGCTACTACCTGGGAGGACGTAAGAAACACGCCTGTCTTGACCACTTCTAGGTCCCCCGAGGGAGCGACTGGGAGGTATTTAAGGGGAAGCATACCCCGAAGCCGCAGGCAGTCCTCAGGGAAACGGCGCTTCTCCGCCAGAACGTACCCCGGTAACCGCATGCCACCAGGGAAGGAAGGGCACTCATACATGAGGTGGCGCAAGGTGGTTCCGGAATCACCACTTGGAAAACCGCCCGATAAGCGTACCGGGTAGTTTTGGTGCGCACTGACTTGAGCAGGCGACGCGGGACCGTCCAGTCGACCCCGCCACCAGCACCCGCCGATCCCATGCGACGAGACCTCTGGGTCTTGATGATGTCCGTGAGGAAGGACGAGGTTTGACAGACAACCGAAACCTCAGAAGGCTTGATCTCAAGAACACGTTCCTCAAAAACCCAGCGGGAAGGATCGTGGCCGTCGACCTGGAGGTCGCGGAGGTATTGACACATGGCTGAGATGGGTCCGGTGACCACGGACCAGCCGTGCTTCGCAGCCTCCAGCCGCTTCCAGACCACTCTCCAAGTGTCCTTTACTGCCTCCCAGCCCATGCGGTTACATCTGGCCATCATCCTGAAAAGACTTTACACGTGCTGGGTCACCACAATAAGGTAAGGATCCTGAACCTCGTGGGCCGTCATATCTAGGATGGTATCCGTTGAACCGTATCGGCTCCTGCCTGCGTGTCGGGCCACCGCTGCGCGCATAGTTTTCATATGTTTAGGGGCGACCCCCTGTGCTTCATGGCCATAAAGACCCGAGGTGACGACACTAGAACGATGCAACCGCAGCCGGACGCGGCGTGACGGGATGCGAAGCTTAACCAACTTCAGGTTACGGAGGCCACCTACCCGGAAGCGTTTCTGGGCAGTAGTTGTCCTGCGCCGGCGTCCACTGCCACTGTCAAGGCCTAAATCCTTGACCACGTCGACTATGTTAGAGTCCCCTGGCCGCAACAGCTGTCGCAGCGCCGCGGCCGAGCGGGGTGTTCCGGCCACAAATTTCGTTTTCTGTTGGCTGACGAGACCTTCAGCCTGAAGACTGGACTTGAGCACTCGAAAGGCTTCATAAGCCGCTCCCGCGGCTTTTTCCGGCAAGGCATGGAGGGAATCTGCAGAGACATTGTCCAACCATTCGTCGCAATGATCCAAGCCTGTGACTCGTTTCAGTCTATGTAAGGGTTCAGACATGGTAAGCTTGGCCAAGGTGGGAGCGTACGGGCACCCCTGGATCATGCCCCGGCCTGGGAAGATGGTTGGACAGGCTGGGATTCCCCCACCACCGTGCGACCACCACTTGGTAGAGGCGAAGGGAGAGGCACAGGGCCAAGGCTGGGAAAGACAACCGCAGGCCTTGTTCACAAAGCCTCTGCCAAGAAACGCTGTCGTAAACCCATTAATGCAAGCCCTTGACTCTGGCAGACTCTTTGGAGCATTTCCTGGCCAGGGCAACGTCTAACGAGGTACGGCCTGGAATCGCCAAGTTAAAAGGGTGATCAGGAATGTAAGAAGAGTCCAGCCACTGGCCGACCAAAAACCCCCGAGTCTTACACCAAAGCCGCCATAGGACTGATGTAAGACGATAGGTCTTTCCTTCAAGGCACTCTTGGCCAGAAGAACAACTCTGGACCTGGAGGTGGACCTCGACCCACAGGTACCCAGTCGTCTTGTCGCAGCAGAAGAACCCGACCCAATTCAGTTCGTGAACCTTGCTGAGTGCGACTGCTTGTGTTTCTTCAAACGCAAGTGGAAGCTATGGGCGAGACGACGTCGCAACAGGGACGGCCCGGCCTCTCAAGGCTAGGAAGCCTTTGGATTCAGCTATCGTAGCCTGGAACACTACGACCCAGCAGTTAGCGGGCTTGGTGTTCCGGGGTTTTCAGCAGGGCTTTCTATCTGTGGAGTCAAGCATGGTAGGCCTTTGCGAAGATGACGAACCCACCGACCCCTTGACTTTGGAGTATTTGGTGGTCCACAAAATGTTTCAGGCCCTTGCTTCCCCCAGTTCAAGTCCAAGTGACTGGGTTTTTGTCCTTCGAGGTTCGAAGGATCTTTCTGCAAACTCTTGCGAAGCTAAACCTAGGAATCTCAAGGTCTGTTGGGCCAATGTCACCCGATGGCGGTCGAGTCACCGGAAATGGGCCCACACCTTGTCCCCGGACATTCTTATGCTACAAGAACTTCACCTTACCAAAGAGGACCTTAAGAGTGAGACTCGTCATTTGATGAATCTAGGGTTTGTGCTCTTTGGTGTTGCTAGCCCGAAAGTGCCAAGGGCAACCCCCTAGGAGGTGTGGGGATTGCAGTCAAAATCACTTGGGACCCAGAATCCCAGTGACTTTCCACGCCTCGCAAGGCTGTGGCGATGTTATTGTGGCGTTGCGTTCCAAAGGGGCAGATTTCAATTGGATCTCCTTGTACCTGGAAAGTGGAACTGGCTTGAAAAGCCCAGTCAATGATCTTATCCTGTCCAACCTTACCCAACATTTGTCCCTCCTTCAAGGCATGTGGGTGGTTGGTGGGGACTTTAACGTTCCGATCCAGGACTTCCTTAACTCCAGGTATGAAGAAAGGTGGCAGCCGAGTGGTGGGCAGTGGGTCTCCTACGGCGGGAGGGGACTCCAAGATTGACTTCTTTGTCGTCCATCCCAGTTTTCAATCCCTGTCGACGGTCCGGCTGTCTTTTGACTCTTTCACGGACTTCTAACCTTGGACGTGCCGGTGCACTCCCTTCAGTTGAGAGTCCCCACTCTCAGGTCGGTGGTGTCCCCGGCTCCCTTCTCCTTCCACGCAAGCTCCCGTCCAGCTGGTTCAGATCTTGGATGTGGCGTCCCAGGAGAAGTCCTCTATTGCCTTGGGCCAATGGTCCCACGACCTTCAGTCGGAGGCCCAGGCCACCACAGGAAAGGGCTGGTGGGTCGACCTTCCCCGCAGGCCGTTGGCCTCGCACCCAGTTGGAGGAGGTGCCTGGACAGGAGGGCCTATGGCTATCTGGGAGAGATGGCGCACCTGGCTTCAGACAGGAATTGTCCCTAAATCCTCAGAGGCCTTCGCCTTCATTCCTCCGGACGACCCCCTTCTTCCCGTCCGAAAGGACTGGGTTCATGCTGATGACCGCAGCAGCCTCACTCGGTTGTGGCAGGTCGAGACAAAATATAAGGAAGCTTTGGCCTTCCAGACCTCCCAGAACTCCGAGTCTCACTCCAAGTGGCTGGAAGAGGCGCAAAATGATTCCCGCTCCAGGGAAAAGTATGGGATGCCTTGTGTGACTTAGCCCGGGAGCATCCGTTCCCTGTCCAAGCATTCTAGCTCCGTCGCCAAGATATGCGCCGCCAAAAAGGAGGCCCGGACGGCTGGAATTTCAACGATCTTCGAGATCTGCCTCGGGACGCGTATGCAGTCCCAGCCGACGTCTTTAACAAAATGGAGGAGGACCTTAAGACGAGGGAGTAGAAGTACTGGGGCTTTCATACAACTGCATGTCGCACAAAGCCTCCAGGGGAAAATACCTCGGCCCCGTCACCACTGCTAAAGAAATTGGAACTGGTGCTGGTACACATTCCGCTCGAGCGAAACCTGCCCAATCCTAAATCCCACTCCTTCTGGAGGGGCTGACTCTGACACATGCCACACAGAACCGCATGTCTAGATGACCGGGTGTATCTTGGAAGCTCCACCAGGCAACTCTTGTGGAAGATTGTGGCTGATCAGTGATGTTTTTGTCATGTTTTGGATCAGCTTGTATAGGTTTGTTTTGCTTCGGAGTGATTGGGAATCCGTGTGATCCCATCCTCGATGGTTTATGCCTCGTTGATTTCCAAGGAAATCATACGAGTGTGTTTTTGCCCAATACGCTATTTAAAGTGAGTGTGCAGTGTGTAGGAACTTCGTTCTGAAGCTGAGTTTAAGCTCACAAGAGAGAATTCGTTTAGTTTGTGCACTTCGTGACTTTTGGCTCAAGTGGCTCTGACTGTGAAAAAGAGAGAGTTGTCCGCACTTGTGTGAGAGGTCAGGGTTCGTGCTTTCAAGGGAAAAGGTACCAGAGGGACCTTCGGTTTTTCACGTGGTAGCGGAGCTTGTGCCTTGTGGTACGAGCCCGTGTATGGTCTTTGGTTGTCTGTCAGGACTCTGTGAGTGCCTGGAGGCAAGTTTGGGTTTGGAGCCCAGACTGCCAGTGGACCGGAATCTCTTGTACTCGGACCGTGTAAGTGAGTACCGGGAAGCCTACCCTGTGAGGAGGCGGATCCGGACTCATCAGGCTTGGAAGCAGTTGGTTCAGCGGCTGTTGAGGCACTTTGGAGCCCGGGCAAGGTGGTTTGTCTGGAACTGGATTGGTTGTGACCGATCTTGGAGGAATACGGTGCTTGGTAGAGTAGAACTAAGGTTCTTCAGGAGCCTGGACCATCTGGTGTTGGTGAGAGAATTTTCGCCAGAAGACGTTGTGGAGAGACTGCAGGCTGGAGCCTGAGTTCAGGAACTATGTTGAATACATCCCCACGACATACCAGTGGAGCTCATGTGAGGAGTCCAAGAGGTGGACGAGAGCGTGGAAGCTCTGTGCCCATCATGGATGCTGAGACAAGGCGAAGGGTAGACCCTTTTCCGGGTTTGGGAAATCCCAACCCACTGTGGGTGCAAGGTTTGGCACAAGGAAGCCAACCTGTGTATGGCCCAGTGCCCAGAGGTCGAACTCCCGCCAGAAGCCCTCATGGGGTAGCTACTGGAGCACCCCAACAGACAATGGGAGGCCCTTCGTTTCCCCCTGGTTTGCCTCAGCAAGCGGTAGGAAGTCCTTCGTTACCACCAGGACTATCCACTGGACCTCCTCAACCTGTGGTGACACCATCACAAACATCACCCGACGTGCAAGGGTTGACGAGACAAGTGCGAGAATTGGAAAGCATGATGCAGCAACTGGTTGTGCAGCAACAGCAGTTTATGCAAACGATGACTTCGTCCATGGTGCAGCAACAGCAGCAGCATCAGCAGTGGATGATACAGCAGCATCAGCAACAGCAGCCACAGCAACAGCAACAGGTGAATCCCCCCTTACCTCAGGATGGTGTTTCTGAGAACATGCCCAGTTCTTCTTCGGGATGTCAAGGTGCATCGCCAGTGGGTACTCCTGCGAAGGGGACCCAGCTTTTTCGGATGGCGAGCCCAAGTCCCCCACTGAGACCTCCACCTCTGGAGCAAGAAAGGGAAAGGGATGTGTTTGCTCGATCGGACAAATGGTTGCCCAGTTTGCCGACCATTGACTTTTCGTCTTGGAAGGATCGCATCTCTGAAGCTCTTGGATTCTTGACCTGGATGGAGAAGCTGACCAGTTGGGTTGGTTTGGGTTCAGAAGTGTTTCCCAATGAGCTCATGCATGCGGTGAAGACTCAAGAAGAGTCTCGGCTGAAACAGGATCGACTTACTGTGGAGCAACAGAAGAGGTCGACGAGGCTGATGCACATCCTGCGACAGACTTTTGCAAATCATGAGAAGAGTTCTCTGATTTTGCAGACATATGTTGAAAGTGAGAGCACTTATCAACAATCTGGTTTTGTGGCTTTGAGATTGCTGGCGAA